GAGTGAGCCACGATGGCGTATCTGACCTCTTTCGACCGGTTTGTTAAAACTGTAGAAGACCCAGCGCAGTGAACATTCATTATACAGACAAGCATACACCCATATATAAATGCATATCTTTCTGTCTAGACATACATATCTACCGTATAGATAGAAAGATGAATATGTCTGATAGATATACAGATATGCATTTATTTCTGTGCCTACGTATGTCTGTATATACGAATATTCATTGGTTTGGGCTAATAGTGCTAACAAACCGGTCGTTTTTCTGGCTCCCACTTCCCCTTAGGCACCGTTAGGAAGTCATTTTTCGAAATTTCGAATGCCCTAGAATATCATTGCGAGGTGTGGCCATTTTTTCCTGTAAATTCTAAAGGAGAACACCACAAAGCTATAAATAAAAATAATTCGGTGCCTACCAGAGTCGAATCATGATCATTTGGGACCCTATGATTAACGACCCTCTAACACGTCTTGGAACTGGGGCCCCTTATTTCAAAAAGGGCCATAAACATAGGGACCACTTTTTGAAAATTAGGTTTCCAGATCATTTTCAAAACGTTGTCTCTAATTAGGTTTCCAGACTCCTAGGTATCGTTCTTTTTTTAACACTTGATTTTGAAGTTGAATGAATTATTCAATAGTTCAAAACATTCTCTCTCTCTCTCTCTCTCTCTCTCTCTCTGTGTGTGTGTGTGTGTGTGTGTGTGTGTATGTGTGTGTGTGTGTGTGTGTGTGTGTGTGTGTGTGTGTGTGTGAAAAAGGTTAAACACTACCGAGTTGATACTATGTGGGCTTTTCTACCATATCTGAAAATCTTTTAGAATTACTTCGAGCCTGAAGAGCCCCAAGATGCAATCTATGAATTAATTTGTGGTGCAACTGTTGCATTTATAGTGTTAACAGTTAACACCTTAAAAGATGGTTGCGGGGCCCTTGCTTTTGGTGGGTCTCAAAGCTTCGTCCAAGTCAGCCTTAAGACTTCTTCCTCTTCCCCCACAAACCTCCTCTTCCTCTTCCTCCCTTCTTCATCAGCAAACTTAGCTAACTGTTAAGGCATTTTGGGTGACCGTACTTAATTTGCATTTAAGGGTTCTCTAAACAATATGTATATTTTGTGAAGTAATTAATTAGGATATTGCGGGACTGACACCTAGTTCCACTGGCTCATATGACGAAGAGATTGTTTTTACAAAAGTTTGCCGAGCTCTGATAAATTCTAATGAACAATGTGTTACACATTATGAATTACTGTAAAATGGGAAACCCCAAGCAGTACTTTCTATTAATCTCATTTGTAATTTTATTTGATGGCCATATATATACTTCAATTTTGACCACTTCATCCCTAAGTGATATATCCCAGCCTGACCAATGAACGGAGATGGTAAAGAGAGGCCTAGTCCAAAACAAAATAACAGTTTGCTTAGTATCTCTAATACCTTCAATTTATCAAATATCTTTCAAGACAAAAATGGAGGTGGAAGATCATCAAAGACAGACGGAAATGATGAATGCGAAGGCAAGAATGGACGATGCGTGAAAGAATGGAAATGCGAAGAAAAAAACGTCCTCAAGAAGGTTGAATGTAGCGGGAAGAATAGAGTGTGCTGCCGCAAAGGTGAGTGTCAGACTCTTATTGGTTTTGGTTGATTTTGTCACTTTTTATCTATCAAAATGTTAAAAAAGAAATATGTCAAATGTTCCAATTCTGCCAGTGAAACCATAGGGGATATGCACACTGAGCATTAAATTGAAGTAGCAAGAATTCATCTAGAAACAATGTCTAAAATCAGTGATATCTCCCAATTAGATGGAAGATCTTCAAAGACAGACGGAAATGATGCATGCGAAGACAAGAATGGAAGATGCGTGAAAGAACAGAAATGCGAAGAAAAGGATATAATCAAGAAAACTGAGTGCAGCGGACAGAATAGAGTGTGCTGTCGCCAGGGTAAGTATCGACTTTTTCAATTTTGACCAGTAAACCTTTACACATACCTAAGAATTATATCCCAGACTGAGGAACGAACCAAGGTAGCAAACAAGGAACAAATCTACTGCAAAACAGAAAACATTTGATCAATATCACCAATGTTCTCAATTGATATCACAGGAGGTAAACGGAAATCAAAGAGCGACGGAAATGCTGAGTGTGAGAGTAACGCCGGGAGATGTGTGAAGAAATGGAAATGCGGCAGGGATAATATCCTGAAGAAGATCGAGTGCAGCAGGAATAATGAAGTGTGCTGTGTTCAAGGTAAGTGTCAAGTCCCCACTTTTCTGCCTGATCTCGTCCCAGGTACAAAAAGTCAGGTAGTCCCTCTTCCGGTTACCCTGTTGAACCCATAAATGAAAATGGCTTTTGTCCAAGGGTATTCTGATAAGTGTTAATGATAAATAACTATTCATTATCTTAAAATAAGGTAATTACAACAATGTTAAATATATTATATATTATATTATGTATCTGGCTATACCTGATATCTCATTGTTCACACTCAATGGCTGAATGTAGCATCATTAGCTTCTGTATGAAATGTTATGGTGTTTTTTACAGTGCATTTTCATTGCAAATTATTCAGTAAAAACAATGGTAATAAATAATAAATGAACGGATCAAATAAATAAAGAAAATAAAGCCACAGAGGGAGGGTTTACCTTACTTTTTAGGATTTTCATTAAGATGAAATGGAGTTACTTTGTTAAACCACCTTGATTTTGTCGGATTTTTATTTCACTTATTTATTTATTCTTAATCAGTTCTCGTTGTGTTTTATGATTATCTCAAATGTTTCAAAATACCTTTTAAATTATCAATGAATTATATCCCAGACTGAACTGTGAACCTAGTTGGTAAATAGGGAACAAGTCTAATAGAACAATTAATTACTATGACTAATTTACCCAAATTGTCAACAGTCACAGGAAATAAAAGAAATTCAAAAATCGACGGAAGTACCGAGTGTCAGAATAACGAAGGGAAATGTGTGAGGAAAGTGCAATGCAACGAGAAAGACGTCCTCAAGATGTTTGAGTGCAGTGGAAAGAAAGTTTGTTGTCGCCAGGGTAAGCTTCAAGCCTGTTTTGCTTCCGACGGATTCTGTCGGTTCATTTCTTTTCATCCGTTTTTGATGTTTTGGGGTTTCCTTTTATGAAAGTTCGCCTTTTTCCGAGATACTATTAAGCAAATTGTATATCCCAGACTAAGCAATAGACCCAGAGACAGATATGCAACGATTTGTTTGCGTCGGGCATTGCCAAACGTTGCCTGTTTTGTAACTTCTCATGCCTATTTCTCCCAGTAACATATGCTGCAAGCTGCTGGACAATTTAGAATAAAAATAACGGTTTTCGCACAACGAATTGTAATGACTTCAAGAGTCGGCTAACCACAAGAAAAACCTATGATACACTTTTAGATATCCAAGTGTTATATCCCAGACTGAGCAGTGATGTAAGGTAGAAAGTAAGGTATTAATTATCAAAAGATTTTTATGATTACTAATGCCCCAACATTAGGTGGAAGATCATCAAAGACAGACGGAAATGATGAATGCGAAGGCAAGAATGGACGATGCGTGAAAGAATGGAAATGCGAAGAAAAAAACGTCCTCAAGAAGGTTGAATGTAGCGGGAAGAATAGAGTGTGCTGCCGCAAAGGTGAGTGTCAGACTCTTATTGGTTTTGGTTGATTTTGTCCCTTTTTATCTATCAAAATGTTTAAAAAAAAAATATGTCAAATGTTCCAATTCTGCCAATGAAACCATAGGGGATATGCACACTGAGCATTAAATTGAAGTAGCAAGAATTCATCTAGAAACAATGTCTAAAATCAGTGATATCTCCCAATTAGATGGAAGATCTTCAAAGACAGACGGAAATGATGCATGCGAAGACAAGAATGGAAGATGCGTGAAAGAACAGAAATGCGAAGAAAAGGATATAATCAAGAAAATTGAGTGCAGCGGACAGAATAGAGTGTGCTGTCGCCAGGGTAAGCGTCAATCCTCTATCGTCCCAGTCAGATTTTCTTCTCATTAGTCATTGATCTTATATAAATCATTTTGTCCATGATACCCTCAAACATATTTAAGAATCATGTCTCAGACTGAGGACTGAACAAATCTTGACTGATTACTATCACGAAAGCCCTCAACTCATCACCTATCACAGGAGAGAGAAAAAAATCGAAGAACAACGGAAATGCCGCGTGTAAGAACAACGCAGGGAAATGTGTGGAGAAAATGAAATGCAAAAAGAAGGACATCCTCAAGACGATTGAATGCAGTGGAAAGAAAGTCTGTTGTGCGGGTAAGCGTATGCCATTACTTTTTTTCTGCTCATCCGAGTATTCGTATCTGATGACCATTTTTCTAATATATAAATAAATAAATAATAATAATATATAAATAAATAAATAATAATAAATATAAGCGTATGCCATTACTTTTTTTCTGCTCATCCGAGTATTCGTATCTGATGACCATTTTTCTAATATATAAATAAAACTTCCCCATCTCATCTAGCATAACATTTTAACCCTTTCCCTGCCCGGCATTCAGCAGCTGACATTCTGCAGGATGTTATGGAACCTCAGCATTAAAAAAGAGAGGCCTTTGGTCTCATTTGAATACCCAGTCTTCGAAGTTTTCTTGGGAACACATGGGCACTCAAAGCTTTTCAAAATACATACATTTTCCTCTATATTATAAGATAAACAATGCTTTTATTCATAATTACTTCAGAGAGGCATAGCAGCAAGAAACCATATCCTTATTTTTTTGCTTTTGGTGTTAACATTATGGTGTGAATCTCCTCCCTGTCAGCTTACCTGGACCTGCCACTCGCATCACTGCCCAGAAATGTCCTTTTGATAATGGAAGTGACAAGTGGAGTATCGGTGTTATTAGAAGTGGTAAACTAGCGGCGGCCACAACATTGATATCATACAACACATGAAAATCTTTTAGATTTTCCTTGTTAATAAGCATAAA